GTGCATCCAAAGAAATGACAACCATTTGTTACATTTCCAGGGACAGCCTCTGCCTCCTGACCTAGTGGTGCAAAGTGGGGGGATGAAGGTATGGAGAGATTTCACAGTGTCTCTGAGGTCAGCTGGGAAGTCAGACATAAAAGCCAAGGAAAGAACCTAAATTCATCACCCTCTCCCTCGTGAAGTCCCCCTGTTTCAGCACTCCCCACATTTTTTGGGGCTACCAGGTAATTTGACAGAGGAGCTCCCAGATGAAGAGTCCTAGAAGAGACTCTAGAAGAGATGAAGAGGGTGAGAGCCCTTCTGCCAAGGCTGGGCCCCTGGAGGACATGAGCATCAGGCCAAAGCTGCTGCTGTGACTGGTACCCACTCAGGAGAAGTTTGGATGATCCACACATGCCTCTGCAAGTGAGCAGCAAGAAGCAAGGCTGGCCTGGAGGTGAGCTCTGCCTGCAGGGATCTTTCTGGATGAATCTTAGAATGGGATGGGAGATGCTGGGAGGGGTTGGCAGTTTATTTGTGACTGCATAGCGGCCTCACCCCATCCAATACACGATGTAGGGTGCAGCTCCATCCTGTGTAGTGGGATTGCTTCCTTGAAATGGGGATTCCTGCTGCAGGGCCTTGCTTTTCCTTGTACATGTAGCTGTGAATGGGAAAAACCCAGTAACACACTGGATTGCCTACCCACGGTTTAAGGTGGCTTCTCCATGTGTGCATAGGGGAATTTGGGGCAGGGGGTGGATTTTGTTGTTTGTTTGTTTGGGTTTCTTGTGTTTTGCTTTTCAAAAGTCCATAATGCAACAATTAGGTTGAGGCAAACTCCTACTGAAAGCTGGCATACAGCATTCACTCTAATTAGCAGGTTGAGATAAAGCCTAGCGATAAGTGCTTGGCTGGCTTTCACTTTGGCAGCCAAATTAAAAGGAAAAGTGGAGGAAAATCACTCTGGGAAGACCCAAAATGGATGTTTTTTTAGTTTTGCTCACAGGGAGCAAATAGCTGGGGGAGGCACTCTTCCGGGCTAAACCATGCAGTGTGTGCTTGGTCTGAAATGCAAGACTGTGTTTCCTGTCCAGGCACCTCTCACATGAGCAGAAAAGGACATTTTCCAGGGGATGGGAAAGAGATGGGTTAAACCCAGTGGGTTAACCCCAGTGTGGTGCCAGCTCAGATGTCCATGTGCTGGATGAAGACTGGCTGCACCCCTGAATGTGAACTGAGGTTTCACCTGCCTGATGCAAGAGGACATCATAGGTTTGGAGGTCAGGGTTGCTGGTGTGCCCTTGGGTTCAGCTTGTAAAGCTAAATCCAGAGGTTTATGGGAGTTTATAGGTCCTGCAGCACTTGCCACGCTTTCTGTCAGGCACTCAAAAGCTTAATTTAGAAAATAAACTGGTACTAATTACAGGGCAACCAAATGATTTTTTTACTGTGCATTATACTTCTAATTATCATGGAGTCAAAGAAAGGGGAAGAGAAAGTCCTGAATTACTGCAATAGGCAATAACACAAGAACAGGGGTACACACACCAACCCCTTCTTCCCCCCTGTCTCCCCTCGGGGAGGGAATTTCCTCTCACCATATTGCCACGCAGATCTCGTAGGGGTCCTCGCAGTAGGAGTTGAGGTTGCAGTTGCTGTAGCACACCTTCTCCTCGCAGGCTGGAGCTGTGGAATCACACCACTTGCACAGGTTGGTCTTGAGGCTGCGGCGGGCGCTGGCACCGCAGGCTGTGGAGCAGAGAGGAGCTGCAGGTGAGCGCGGCCGTGCTCGCCCTCAGAGGGGAAAAACAGCCACCATTCCCAACGATTTGCACTGCTGGGGGAGAAGGAGCCTCAGCTGACACCATTTCTCCATGCATTTTTTTAAAAGTTTTTGTTTTGCTCTCCACTGCCCAGCCAATTGTGCTTTGTGTTATCCCAAAGCCTCGAGAAGATGGGAGAATGCTGCTGATGGGTCCCACAGGACAAAAGCCTGGGAAACCGCAGAGAATCACGTTTTCCCTCTGCTCTTCCCATACCATTTATCATCAAGGGGAAATTTGCTTCTTCCTCTACAACCCAGGCTCAAATTGGCATTTCCCCTCATCCCAAGAACATTCTGTGTTCAGAAAGGGCCATCTCCAGGTCTCTGTGTGCCTGAAGACTTCATTTATTCCCCTCTCAGCGGGAAGAGACCTGCTGGGGAGGGATGTACGGCCAGGCTGGGACAGCTCCCTCCTCTCCTGCTGTCTCCTTGTCCTCCTCCTTCCTATTCAATGAGGCCAAGCTGGGAAATGTGTTTGCTACCCACTCCCCAGGTATCTGTGGCTGAGACTTCCCAAACTTTGGGGCAGCAGGGGCTGTTCCCTGCAGGCCTCCATTGCCCACTGAGCCTCATCCCAGCAGGAGATGCTCTCCCACCCCTGGAGCCTCAGATCTGCCACAGCAGCACGCATAACTGCTGCCTGTGGGGAGCTGCTCTGCCTGTATCTCACAGGCATAACATTATCTCTATTTTTATAGAAAGGGTGCATGAACCATGCTTGGTTAAGGGATGAAATCCCAGCTAAATTTAAACTTCCTGTCTTAAGGCTGCTAAATGTCTTTTTTAAAAAAATGCCACTGAATGGCTTATGTAGAAATAGATATTTATACTTTTTTTTTTCTTACTTACATATATGCACTCTAAAGTGTTCAGGCATGAGCCTGAGCTACAGTAGCCAGTTTTTTGAAGGTTTGGGCCATCCATGATTCTCTGGCTGCCATGTCCCTGAACCACCCAGCAGTGCTGGGTGCTCCCAGCCCCTATGGAAACGGCAGTCATAGCTCACTGTGCTGCCACAGCCCTCACAGAGTTTTCCATCACCAGCTGTTAACTCTGAAGAAAAAAAAAATTGCAAAATGCCTGACTATGGCTTGGGGAGCCTGCAAGCAGGGCCCTGCTGATCCAGCACGGCCATGGGCACCCCCAGACCTGTCAGCAACATGCAGGAACTCCTGCATTCTTGGTGGTCACTTCTGTGACCTGCCTGTGTTCCACAGCTGAGCCCATGGACAGCAAAAAGGAGTTTTTAACTTCTCTGCTCCCCAAATCCAGGGCATGCAGCCTGCTCTGACAGCATCCCATGTGCCTGCTCTGCTTCCCTCAGCAGCCCAGACCCCCCTCCCTGCGACAGTCGTAAAGAACTGCTGGAAGGCTCCCACACAGAAATAAACCATTTACAAGCTCCCATGGCCTTGTATGTAGGGCCAAGGTTAATGGTGGGGGGAAAACCTGGGTGCAGAGCAAAAGCCTGTTGCATATGAAGGTCAGAAGGAGGAAATTTTGGTTTAAATGGCCCATGCCAGGCTTAAAATGCAGCTCAGCAGGGACTGTGCTGGGCCAGGTTTTGGGGGAGCAGGGAGCAGGGTAGGTGAAGATGTTGCTCACAACCTCTTGCTCATCATCCCCCCGCCTCTGTGAGGCTGCTCTGGCCCTGCTGGGACACCCTGGGATTTTGTGGGTGACCTCAAGAGATCACACACACCCATTCCAGGGTTAGCTACTGAAACCATGGCTTCAGCTGGGATTTGAAGCACCTGCAGCCAGCATGAGCTACCCTCACCTCCCTGCCTTACTCTGCCAGAGCAGGGCTTGCAGAATCTAAGGCAAAACCCCACTGGAGGATGAGAGTTTTGGGTGTGGAATAGAAATCAAGCCCAGCCATTGTGTGCAGCCTTCAACCTACAGCCACAGCCACTGCTCCTTACAAACTCCATTTGCACAGTTTCATGGGAACAGAGAATTGAAGATAAACTGGTTCTCACCCCAAACCCAAGCCCTACCACACCCAGGCCTGTGCTCTGGTGGTGTCACTGTCATAGTTCCTCTTTCAATTTATACCCACCAGGTATGTTATTTACTTATTTATATCTAAAGTTTGCTTGAGATCCAAGGGCAGCACATCAGACTCGCCAGTAATGCGCTGCTGCGTGTGGTGGGGATCTTGGCTGTGCTGTGCTGTGCAGAGGGGAAGCCAGGACAGATGAAAGAGTTAAATATGGAAACAAGATCCAGAAATACAGTGGTAACTGGACAAAATTCTTTGGAGACAAATTGTTCTAAACTAACTCAGGCTGTGATTCTGTTATCTGCTCTGCAAGAAAGGTCAGAGCAGGAATCTCTTTTTTTCTCCCCCCCATGCCCTGCTTGTCCTAGGAAGCTAAAAGAAGAGCACAAAGCCCATTGCAAGGTTCTTCAGGCCTGTGTGTCCTTGAACCTTTAGCTCGTAGGTACAATTTAACTGCCACATCACTCATCTTGGCCCTGATTAGACCCAGATGAACACTTTCAATATTAATAGTTGGATGATTTAATAAAGCTGCACAAGCAGTAAAAGTAACAATACACTTCCATAAACGGGTTCCAGATGTTGCCAAGGCAAATGCTAAACATCAAAATACAAACTTCAAAAAAAAAAAAGTTAGGGGAAAAAAAAAAAAAAGCTGGATAAGCAAAACTTGGAACAAACTATAAACTAATTAAATGTGGGTTGAGTTTTCCAAAAATAAATTGAAGCCATAAGGATGTGATGTGAGCCAATAAATAGTACAGTTAGTCAAAGTTATTGTGGAACGACAGTTGGAAAGATGGTTTGAAGTCACCGATAGGTGGGCTCACAGCGAGCTTGGCTTCCCATCAATAGGAAGGCTTGTTCTCCTGTGCATGAGAGCAGGATCAAATCTTCTGGTATCTATAACTGGGACCCCAGAGAGGTTACTGAGAGAATATGAGATGATTTTCAAGTCAGGGAATAAAGGAAAAACGATGCCAGAAGTGCCTGTGTCTCTCCTGCAATAGCAGCAGGGATGATACCACCGCCCAAGGAAACCAGGATATTTTTTCCTGTGTGTTGGGGCGGCCATCCAGCCTCTCACTGCCCACAGAGCATCCACAACCTCTGCTTGGCCACCTGCAAAGCCCATGGAAACACCACTGCTGTAGTCAATAACTCATTCTCTTCTCCATACAGATTCGTTGAAAACAGCTCTCTGAGAGAATTTCACCCCAGTCCCATCGGCGCGGTTGCAGAACAGCCACCCGCAGCAGATGAGCTTTCTGCCAGCAGGGACTGCACCTGTCAGAACGTGGAGGGGGATTCTGTGAGCCCCTGTCTACCACTGAAGCCCCAGAGAGCAGGTGGGTCATCCAGCACCTAACTCTGGCTCCAGTTTTCCCTGCACTCTGGTCCCCAAGGAGGAGGAACCCTAAGGAGCAAGCTGGGGTGCATGGGGTGCAGGCACAGCACATTTGTTACAGGCAAGGAGAAAGTGTTTCTTAGCCCAAACAAGGGCAAGAAATGCATTTTCACTGAGGGGCAGAATGGACACTTCCAGTTCTCAAGTATTCTCCCTGACATGCTGCTTTGGGACAGCTAAACACCAAGATGGGCTTAGGGGAATGTATTTGGAGTGGGAAAATTTGTGCTAGGGCACTTATCCTAGTTCCCAGCTCTCCCCTTCCCAAAGTGAAGGGGACCAAAGCTTTTGTTACACAGGACCTCCATTATAGGACCTTCAGATCATGCTCTATCTTGCAGTGATAACTGTCCTTACATTGTTTGTATTTCTCAAGGACAAAGAAAAATTGGTAACTTTTAGGTCATAAATATTCTACAGTGAGGTCTAGCCCCCCTTTTCTGCGTATCTCCAAGCACCCCAGGATGGGGCTGACACTATTTCAGCAGTCACAGAGAGCTGCCCATCTTGCTGTTACTCTGGGAATGTTAGTGGCTCTGGGAGCTCCCTGCACCATCTTTTCCCTGCAAGTCAGTCAACCTGCAATCCCCAGGCTTTGCAGTGGGAGGGACTAAGGCCAGGGAGATTAGCTGAGATGCTCTTTGTTTTCTCTGACCAGCTGTGCACTTAAACACAGGACTGGGGAGCAGCTCTAACTCGACCCTGCAGCCTTGTTATTCCTGGAAACCCCCAGATAGGTGCCCTGATGGAAACACAACCTGCACTGGGACCTGCTCTCCCACCTGGGTGAGCCTGGGCTCCTCGGTGAGTCCTGCGTCTGCCGCCAAGTTTAGGATTAGGTTTTGCTTTGGGCTTTTATCCATGGTTAATGACACAAGTACACAGTAACAGAGCCTCTCATAAAATTGTTATGAGAACAAACAAATTCCTTCCCTTTAATATGCAGTATTACTTCTTTTTAAGATTAATCCAACAGCAGAGCTGATGGGCTCTGCTCTCTCGCTGACCCATGTGAGAGCACCGGGTGTTCCCCATCACCAAGTTACTCCTGAGCTGCCTCCTCCATGATGCAGCAACCAGTTCCACAGATGGGTATCAGGGTAATTCCTATGCCCTGATTTCCAGGAGATTCTGTGCAGGGTCAGAAGTTCCCATGGAAGTTGTTCAGCATGACCTCTGTAACAGTGATCCCAGATTTCTTGCAGTCAGTTTGAGCTACGTCAGACCTGTTGAAAAATGCCTGACCTTGTTGCAGCACCCTGCTGTGCTGCAGAATCTCCCCAGAATCAGACCTCAAAGTGCTGTACTTCTATTTCGGATGCAGCTCAGTTTCTTCCAGCAGTCTCCTGTTCTCCAGTGCAGGGGTCTGGTGCTGCTTTCAGCTGCTGAACCAAAGAGGTTTTTAGCGGCAGGCTGATCTTCTTCATCCGTGTCTTTTACACTGTATCTTTATCTTTGTAGGAGAGGTAGAGCAGACCAAATAGAGCTGAAAAAACTTAATATCCCAGTTTTTGCCCCTGCAAGTCACAAGCCACTGGCTCTCCCAGGAAATCCATCAGTGCTGCATTGAGATCAGGGGACCAACCCAGGCTGCACCCTCGGGTATGTGGTCCCACATTGTCCTGCATAATAAATACTGCATTTGGCAGAGTACAGTATGGAGCAGGGAAGGAGCCAGAAATGTTTCCTGATGCATAAAAAGGGACTGATTTTGATTGTGTTAGACACCAGTTATTCCAGGGGCAGGAAGACATGTAGTATACATTTCTGGTTTGCTTGGACCTTCTTCAGACAGGCTGGTAACTGACTTATTCTACCACTTATTTTTCCTTTGTGAAAATATCCCTTTAAATTCAGTGTTTAGCAAATACTGCTTAGTCCCATTACAAAGTAAATTGAGTATGGATCATACCAGCAGGCTTCTCCAGTCTCTTTCAGATGCTTAAATTACATCATGATCTAACTTCACCCAGGGGAGGGACAAGTCTGCAGATTGCTGTCCGTCCTTCTGCTTTGGTAATCTCTGGTATTTCTCGGTTTCCTTTCATGAGTTTTCTGTGCATCAGCGCAATGACTCTGCTTTTGGGGTACGAGGATGTTTCATACTGAGGTACCCCAGGGCTGTGCCCCTACAAAGCCAGCAGCATCCAGGCAAGCTGGAGTGTCAGGGGCCAGGGAGGAGATGCCTGGCATTCGGCAGGGAGAATTTGGCCAGAACAGTTTCTCTTTGATTTTGGGTGAGGATGCCTGGGTGAGGACAGGGGAGCGCACCTGGCCCTGCACTCCTCCATCCGCCCTCGGAGCCACTTGTCTCCTCCATCCACTCTGAGCAGATCTCAAGTTTCTGTCACAGATTTCACTTTCTGACCCCCAAAGCTGCTCCTGGCTGGGACAAGCCCTACTTTGTGTCCCTGGGGGTTGGGATGCTGGGTCCGGCCGGTGTCCAGCCCTGGGGGCTGGCAGGGGCAGCCTTGGGCCAGCCAGGGGATGCCTGCAGCAGGGGGGCTGCAGGGGCAATTATTTGCCATATTGTGCTCTTGCTTGTGTTTAAAAACAACAACAGCTCAACTGACTCATAGGTCCTACGGCCTCTGAGTCATTTTTTATTTCTGGATTTCACTGCTCTGCCCTTTGCAATGAAGGGAGTTGCATGCTCACACACACACACACACACACACACACACAAAACGATTTCCATACCATTAATGAAACAGAAATGATTTGACTTTGCATACCCTGGCTTTTATTTTCCATTGTATAAACTCTGCAGATGAAATAATGATGGTTGTAAAGTAAACCTCTCTTTTTTTTTTTCCTTTCCCTTTCCAGGCAGCCTCTTTTCAAAATAGCAATAGGGAGTCACTTACAGGCTTGGCTTGTGCTGCTCCTGTAGTAATTAACCCCTTCATCCCTAGCTTTTCCTCTGTTGGAAGTTAGCCACAGCGTGGGTGAAGGCATCAGCTGGTCTCCTCTGGGACAAGAAGTGAAGCGGGGGAGCAGAACAGGCAGGGAAATGTGGGAAAGGAGGCCAAGAGCTGCTCCAGGCAGAGCAGTGGTGTGTGCCTGGAGCAATGCACTCGTGGGCTGGGCAGCTTTCCTGGGAGAGCCAGAGTGCTGGCACTGCAGGGCCAGAGGTACCTCCAGTCTTCCTACACCCCCCCTTTTTTGGGTTTAAATCAGCACCACCGTTTTGTGTTTAGCCTGGCAGCCCCATCCCAGGTCACCTCCCTTCCTTCCCACTCCCAGGGACCACCAGTGAAACATTCTCTCTCCTCTACATGCCACTGCTGTGGTAAATAATCTGTGGTAAATAATTAATCACCTAATCTTGCTCTTTTTGTTTACAGGGCCGTTATGATTTTACGAAGTTCTCGGAGGAACATTATTGGGGTGAGGTAATCCCTTACACAGCAGCAGATCCAGCTGGAGCTGGGCGTGCGAGCACGTGCCTGCCTTGCCCCGCAGGATGGGCTGAGCTGCCCTCCCTGCCAGGGTGTGAGCTCTGCTTCGTGGTAGACCCTTGCCATCACACACATTCTGTCTGTCTTCCAGGCCTCCACACATGCCACAAGCATTTTTCCTAATCACATTTATCATGCAGCAGCACAACCCTGCATCCCCCCAGCGCTGGATCAGATGCTTCACTGATGCCTGGTCCGGCTGGGTTGGTGACACTGACTGAGATACTGTTCCTCTTCCCAGACTGGGTGATGTGTTTTATATTATTTCTCTTGGATTTATTAAGCATTATGTAACTGGCTAACCAATCCCGCATGCGATGCAATCGTGGCTGATTTCATGTCAGTGGAAAGTAAACAAAAAATTGCTCTGAAGTGGCTAAACTGAAATTCATTTCCACATGCAGAGCAATTCCTGGAGGATCTTTCCCATCTCCTCACAGTTAATTTGCATCCAAGCTCTCATGCAACCCATTAAAAAAGAGTTATGGAAAAATTGCACATGTAAGATGACAGTGTGTTATGAGGAAAAATTATTAAGATGAAGTTTATTTTACTTAAATATTTTTAAGCGAGTTTGTTGATTTCTTCTGTGCCTTGAAATGTGTAACATTTGCCTATTTTTTGTCTTTCAGCTGGGGAACTCAAAATGTGAAAATTACCCACCAAAGAAAGCTTGGCATTAAAGTCTGTGAAATCAGGGAAGCCAAACCTGCAGTCCTGAGGTCCTGAAGGCCAGCAGAACCCAGCCCAACATGACAAGGTAGGTGCTCTGCCTTTGCTGAGCTTTGGAAGGACTGTAAACATCAGGTGAGGCAAAATCTATACCCCCATTAGACTCTGAACAAAAGCTCTTTTAGGAGCACTTGCTTTCTGGTGTCACAGACAACATCTTTCCCATTAACACCAAAATGGATTCAGAGTCGCTGAGCTGAGGATGGGGGGACATGGAATGGATAAAGCAGTAGTGGCTTTGCACTATTTCATTTGTTTTTCTCACTGTCTTTGAAACTTTCAGCAATCTCTGAAAGTGATGTGTGTGTTTCTGGGTCCATTTCACTGACACATTTCACTGAAGTATCAGTAAAGCTGGTGGCTGGGGGTTACCTGGCTGCATGTTATTTGCATTATTTTTCATTTTTATCCCTAAGGCAGCCCAGCACCTGCTTCAGCTGGGCAAGAAGCTAAGTCCAATTAAGCTGAAATGCTGTATTAGACCTGGCAGAGCTCATGGACCATGTAACATCTTTTGCCAATTGCTGGGCTGGAATTTGAAGATTAAGGTGACACCAAGCTGTGATCCAGGGCCAGATGAGGGTGGTGAAGAGGCAGGGTGGGATAGCCCTGAGAGCAGTGCTGGTGGGAGAGCTCACAGCTCCATGTGGGTGTCACCACTGCACCTACCCTTGTGCTGACTTGCTAGATGAGGAAAGCTGTCCTAAAACAAAGAGAAGACTCAAATAGAGGGGGTTGTCCCCTCTTCTGGAGGCTAGTTTATTCCTTTGTGAGATGAGCAGGGATGCTCTACATCCTTCCTTGAAAAGACTCAGAGGAGGGTTGAGGATTAGAACAGAAGCTTAGCACAGGAATCCCTCACATTGCCCAGGACAGCAGCTAAATAGGGATTTTTTCACTCCCTACCTGCTGGATGTTGTGGGTCACTGTGTAATTATGGCCAGTATCTCCAGAGCCATGACCAGGCCAAGCAAAATCTTCCCTGGCAGACAAAAGCAGGTGTGAATTTGCCTGGTAATACCTGCACTTATCCCTTTGGGCATTTGTCAGCCACTGGGCTATGATTGTCAGATGAGGGGAGCTAGGACACAAACCAAGTTTTGCAGCCATCCTGTGACTGAAGGTGCAACCTTGTTTGGCAGCAATACCTCCATTGCACCTGTGTCTCCATTTCTTTCTGCTTCCTGTATTCTCCTGTCCTTTCCACCCTGTGTTGCATTGGAAAAGCCTAGAGAGAGCAAACCAAGCCAGCAGCACAGGAGTGCCTGGGAGGGAAAAAACCCCACAGCCAGGGGTCAGTCCAAGAGAAAATTGTGGATACAGGGTGGTGACCTTCACCAGCATCACAGCACGGCCCCACTGCCACAGCAACTCCCACCAGCCCAGACAGCACGCGAGGGAAACGTGCCATTCCTCTTTGTCAGATGGACAGCAAAGCAACTTATGCAGGGTCTGAGGAGGTGGGGAAATGCTGAGTTTCAGCAGTTCATAAGTAATTTTAGCAGCTCTGCCAGCACCTCTGCTTATCTGGGGCCTTGCAGGGTGAGGCAATGCATTATCAGCACATTTGGGTCTCCCGGGCTGCCAGTGAGGTTTGCAGAGGGCTAAGCTGGCACATCCCCAGTGGAAGTTGCCTTCTAAGATTGTGGATTTGCATGCCATGTTTTCAGAGGGTTCCGAGATTTCAGCCCTTTGAAGAGCACTTAGCAGCGTTTTGCAGGGTATTGACTAAATTCTTGTCTTAAAAATAAGTCCATTCTGCCACCTCCCACACTGCCTGGGAGCAGGAGTCACCGCCTGGCCACGCACTGGTGGTTTGAGCTCATCGTGTTGCAAGTTGCTGCAGAAATTGCTGAGGATTTTAGAGCACTTTTAGGACTGAGAACTGAATGGCAAAATGCAACGACCAACCAAATCCACTCTGCTGTTGCCATCATTTTTGTTGCTCTTGTTTTTGCAGAGGCATCAACAGACTATCCTATATCCCAATTAACTGCAGCTTCTGCAGCTCATTTGCAGATGCAGCAGTCATGAATCCCCTCTTTTACACAGAAAAAGCAGCAGCAATGAACCAAGTAGCAAAAACATGTGAGCTGCAAGTCAATAGCAGACATTGCTCTGCCTAGCTACTGCCATTCAAGTAAAACTACTGTGCAGCAGTCAGGGCTTTTTTACTATTATCATCATATTATTCTCTGGAATTCAATTTTCTGTACATTCTTCAGGCTCTGCATGAATCCTGGATCTCTGTGAATAGATGGAATTGAAATTGAAGGATACCATCCAAATAGGTAAACACGTCAGAAACATTATCTGGGTCACATTTGGGCAACAGGGTTCATTTTGTTTCAAGTGCAAATGGGTTACTGATGATTTAGATGAACTTCCTGAGGAGTGTTTGAAATTCCTGGCACATATTTGGTTTCCCATCTGCTAGAAGGTCTTTGATGAGCCCACAAAGACACATTGGACTGGAGCTGCTGCTCTTCATCTCTGCTTGGACTTCTTATGTTTGACCAGTTTGCATTTTTTTGCATTTGTATTACTTTGATTCCCAAGGAGGAAAAGGGTTTGCAAGGGACTGTGAGACAAGCTGCTGGGGCAGAGATGCTTTGTGAACTCTCCCTCTATATGCTGTCATCAGCTTGTTCCAACACTGCCAGTTCTTTATGTCTGCTAAAATTATTATGTAGAGTCAAATTTTGTCCTTGTTTAGGCCAGAGTACTTAATTTAACAGTAATTAAGTAATTTGTTCTATCAGAGGGAACTTGAGGTTAGCCTGGGTTACAGATGCTTAAAACTTTCTGCCTTCTCCTGAAGTGTGCCATGTTTAGCACGTAAATAAATGGTGTGTTCTTTTCTTTCATGCCCTTCTTCACCTGTTAAAAAATACCTTTTAAGGAGCTTGTGCTGTATCTTACCAAAACACACTGCCCAGTAGGGTTGAAATCAAATTGAATATCATCCAGTTTGTAAAGCAGAAGAAGAGAGCTATGGCAGGGGGACCAGGGTTTAGAAAGGAATTTTTTTCAGAACCAAGAGTCCTGTTGACAGAGCCTGAAGTGCTTTTCCTTCACACAAGGAAGTAATGGGAGCTTGTGTGCCTTTACAATGCCTCTCAAGAGATCCCTCTTGCAGGAGAAGGAGAAGGTTCCCACAAGTCCCAGCCCCTGGACAGAGCTGCAGCACAGCTCCAGGGAGACTCACTAGCTGGTAGAGATGAGGTTCAGGAGGAAAAGCTGCTCTTCCAGCAGCTGAAATGACAAAGCGGGGAATGTTCTCTATTCACCATCTCCTGCTCCAAGATCTCATCATTTTTCAGTAGTGCCTTGTCTTTTCAAACCAGCATCCTGCCTCTGGACACCTTCTGAGACATGCCACAGTCTGAACATGCTGAGCAGCACTTCTGCCCAAGAGCTGCCTCCCAAGCCACAGCCTGCTGCAGAGCTGACAGCCCTGGCAAGGGTGAAAGGGAGGCTCAGACATGAGGATGCTGCTCTACAAACAGGTGAGGACATGGCACATGTACAAAACCATAGTAAATGTTTGCTCAGACCTCTCCCTCAAGCTAATTGCTTCTGCCTCTGGTGGGAATGTCTGCATTTTCTTCCACTGAGTGCCTTTTGACATATTAAAGGCATGGCAGGAACTGAGATCCCAGGGGATCCATTGGTCTTATTTCTGTGGATGCTTGTACCCTGGGTCTATTTGAAGAAGGATGATTCATTCAACTGCTTGAGCTTATGGGTCTGTATGTCACTTCCCATTGTACGAAGAAGGGTCTCGTTTGCTAACATGGACTGGTTGGGACTAATTTTGGGATAGATCTAGCATGGAAAAAATGCTTTACACAGCAAGACAGCGGCTGATTTGGTTTCTTCCATGCTGGATGCTGGTGTTTAGAGTATCCAAGGCAGGAAGTTTTATCAAGCAACATCAAACAGATGTTCCTCATCGTGTTCCAGCTGCATTGACTGGCAACCTGCTCAGTCAAACACTCGAGGGGGACACAGGCCTTCATTCTACATAGACAGCAGTTTATTAAACTATCCACCTGGAAACAGCAAAGGATCTTTTAAAAGGGGTATCTGTACTAGTGTTCATTGTAAATGCACCAGAAGCACTTGTAGTCATGGCACTCACAAGAACCGTTTCAGGAAGGGGCCTGAATTACTGATTTTGCAGGAAAAGGAAAGAAATTTTTCTCTGGGTTTTGATACCTGCTGGTCATGGTATGAACTGGCAACATTTTTCTGATGGGGTGCATGGTGAATTATGGTGCTGCAGGATACATCTAAGCATTCTGGTTTGGGATGGCTGAAGGGAGAAGGGATCAGTATCAAAATCCCAGTGTTTTCCACTGTTGATATAAAGCAAAGGCCTCTCTTAGTGGCCAGGAACTTCAGCAGATGTTTCTGGGCCTTCCAGATGCAAAGATGTGTGTTGTTCCCAGGGGGAATACCTTCACAGGGATGTTACAGGAACTGAAGAAATTAGGAGAGATTTGGATAATGGGACAATATCAGACATCAGTGGGTGTCAGCTCAGGTGATTGTCTGGACCCCAAAGCAGGGGAATAAACCAGCCCTATTTGCTGGCTGCCGTGGCTGTGCTGGTTCCCATTGCTAGCACAAGCACATCTGTGCTGCTTTGCATGCAGGGTGTGCATTAGGGGGTGTTTGATGGTCCTGGAGGCCTGGACTCTCCAGCTCCAAGGCATGGCCAGAGGACTTGCCATTGTGTGCCACACGGACAGGACAACAGCTCTTTGCAGGCTGGGTGAAGGCAGTCTGGAATTTCCTTCAGAAATTCAGAAACCTCCATGCCTCACAAGCACTGAGTCTGGAGCTGTGGTGGAAGCTGCTGGACAGCTTTCTTTGGACATCTGCTTATCCAGAAAAATAAGAGGTTTGGGTCCAGTGGAAAGTAACTGACATGGAGCTAAAGGGAGCATCTCCATCCACGGTATGGGAAGGTGAGAGGTCTTCCCACAGGCAGAATGTGTCCAGTAGGATGCTGCTTCAACTACTTTGAGAGTTGTGGCCCACTTTGAGAGAGGCACAGGTGGACCTGGAGCACAGGACCCTGCAAAGTGGCACTTGGCAGCTGCCACTGTTGGAACCACACCTCAGCCCCCCAGTACAGCTAGAATTGCACATCAGTGCCCCAGCTACAGCATGCTCAGGCTGATTGCTTCAAAACACTCAGCTTAAATAGTGATAAGGTCCTTAAAAAAAAAATAAAATCTCAAATCCAAATAACCCTGTGCAGTCCAGGGTAGCACTTGGGTTCAGGCATGTCCTTGGGCTGCTAGAGCCCACACAGGCCATAGGCCTCCGTGCAGTACAGCCTGGCAGCCTGTGGTCACAGCTGGACACATCAGTGACCCACATGCCATCATGCATTTGCTGTAGCATAAATCAGCTGTCCTTTGTTCCTGGCTTATCAATGGGAAGGAAAACACTGCAGTGCAACAGCTCCATGAAAGGTTAAGTCTTGGAGCCTCATAATTGGTAGGAACATGGGCTGCAAAGGGGATTGCACGATAAGCAGGCTCTCCCACTTCTCCCAATATTTTGACAGTTACCAGAAGCTGGCAGCAGAGTTTCAACCCTACATGGGATTATAACAAAAAGATGAACCAACTGAGAAAGAAGAAATATGACTCTGATGGACACTACAGATCATTTCCAGAGGCAGGATGACAAGAATTGACTCTGAATTCAGGGATGTGCATGCAAGCAGGGCCAAGACATCTTTCAGCCACTCCTTCACTTCCTCCTGAAGATCCCTAAGGAAATTTTATCCCACAGTTGGGGTCCAGCATGGACATAATGTAGGTTTGATAGGGCAGGCAGCCATCAGTGGTGTTATCTCCCTTCTGCACGGAGGCCCCTTCCAGCGCGAGGTTTTCACTTGGCACACAGCACTGAACTTGGGATGTGAAAAGAGCAGAGTGTGTGGGAGCTGCTGATTTTGTCTCCTTGGTGGGACTGGTTTTTTTGATAAAAGGATCAGATGTTACACTTCCTTGAAAACACGACAGTCTATGGGAGAGTTCATTAGTTTATGGCAAGTTGCAGCACTGTGGAGCCTGGCTGAAAGCAAATGTTATTGCAAAGAGTTATCACTAAGGGGAGAGGAAAACAATGTCCTGAGGAAATAAACTCGACAGAGCAAATCACTGAGCAATATAAAGCTGTGGAGTACAGGCAGTAGAGCGGAATTCTTTCTCAGAATAAAAGCCCCCAGTCACCTGTTTTTAATGCCAGTGTTTGCTTTCTGCATATTCAGTGAATACAGGGGATACATCTGTCCAGAATTCTGTCTCTAATGGGAGTAACAAGTATCATGATTGCAGCTGGCTGAACTTATTTACTACTAGTATACAAAAATGTCTTTGTGGCCATCATTAAATAGTGATAACACCAGTTAAATACCAGTGAACATCAGTTTTGTGTTGGTTGTTTGGGGTTTTTTGTTAGAAAATTGTGTTTTAATTTCAAGTTGTACAGAATATTTCAAAAAGTACTTCCTTCCACAAAGCCCCCTATTAAAATACAGAGTGAAGATTTACTGATGACTAGCCTGTCTCAAGTCTGAGAAAAGCTGGAGGTGCAAGGGGAGAGGAAATACCAATTTTCATTCATCTCACACAGCTGTACATTGCCATTCTTCTTAACCTTCAGTTAATATAATTCATACCAAGGACTGAAACCGTAGCATCAGATTTGGAGATGGGTAAAGGTGAATTGAAAATAAGCCATCACTTTCCTTGCTGAGTCTCATGGCACTTGCAACATTGCAGAGAATTCCAGTTCTGCATTGTCAGGGTTTTTATTGTGTTTTCCATTTTTATTTCCTAACTGGAGAATTTGTTGCAGCTTTGTTCTTATTTAGCTTCATGTCAGGATGCATAAGTTTCTCCTTCAGGCAGTGGGATCCTGTGCCTGCTCCCAACCCAGCCACCTACACCAAGCCAGCGTGGGGCTCTGGCAGCCCCTTGGAGTTATTTGAGGGTGGTGATTTCTTCCTTGGTGTTTTGGCTGCCTTAAATCAATATGAGAGCAAAACATAGTGCAACTTGACATAGATTGTTATAATCAGCCCTGCAGCCCTGTGTCCTGGGACAGGCAGTGCCCACCTCCCCATGCTGTTTAGCCTGGGAGGAGAGGCTGCTCTGAAGCTCTGGCTTGTCCTTGGACGCACAGAGCTCCTGTCTGCAAATGCCTGTGAAATGCAGGGTGACTCCTCCTTTGTCTTTTTCCTCCCCTTGCTCTCTCACCAGCTCAGGTTTGACCCAATGTTCCTAGATTTTGCATGCATTGGTGTTGGGATGCAATCCCAATAGATCCCCTGCCTAAGGAGCAGGCTGGCATTTTGGTGGCACTACAACCGCTGGTTTTAGCTCTGGTGACCTCAGAAATAAGAGGCCAACTTCTTGAACAAGCTGCCTGAGGAGCCTGGGATAGGTCAGAGATTTCTTGAGCAGATCAAAAGCCAGAGATGCTTTTCTGACAGCCCTGGAGCTCCCTGTCCTGATTTATGAATTCTATACGCTCTATATATTTAGCTGAAGAGGCTCACTGGGGGAACAGTTTTTCCAAGCAGGAATGTGTCTTCAGAAAGCCACCATCTACCAGGAGATAACCCCTCAAAAGCACTCTCTGTAGAGCCAGCAACCATGGCAAAGGGACAACAAGAGACTTGGCAAGAAATGTCAGTATATTTTAGTGGACCAGCATTTTGAACAGGAGACCGAGTTATGGGGAAGCAGACTCAAACCCAGGAGCTGGGAGCTCTAGACTTCAGGTAGCAGACCTGCAACCTCACCTCACTTCAAAAATCTTCTTTCTCTTTCTTTGGAACCTCACTAGAGCCTAAGGGTTGTTTTATCCCAGTCCAGGTAAGTCCAGGACTGCACCAGCTCTCTGTCCTGGAAGGATTCTCTTCTCCCCTGTGTGAGAGTTTGTGTTAGCAGTGGTGAAACTACAGCTCCTGTCTTCACCTTCTGCTGAGAAAGCCATGTAAAAATGCTGCCCTCCAGCTGGCACTGCCACCAAGGAGAAGTTTAAGGGTGGATATTTTGAAGCCTTGGTAGGGCCGGCCATGGAGAATTAGGGAAATTAGCTGAATTTCAGTATCCTGTCAGACTGAAGCCCTTTTTCCCACTGTATATGAACAGAAATGGCCAGATGTGCTGTGTGATGGCAATTCAGTCATGCTGGGAATTAAAAGCATGGACAGGCAGCATGGAGCACAGGCTGGGGTCTCTGCTGCCCTGGGGTAAAGTCTTAGGAACAGCAGCAAGGTCCCTACAAATGCTCAGCTGGAGTTATTCTGGGATAACAGAAACACAGTCTGGGTCTTAAATCTCCGTGCTAAGAGGAAAGGACTTTGCTGCTGCCACCAAGCCAGCACTGTCACTCTTTAAAGAGAGGCTGGGTGAGTGGTATGATTTGTTGCTTGAAGAACAGATGAATGTGCATATTCTGCCAATCTGGAGAT